AGAATGGAAAGAAATGAGATGGCAGTGCCAGGGAATAGGGCCCCCAGGAGAGGGTACAGGAAAGAAAGAAATGGCCCAGGAGGAAAGGGAGACTGGAGCCAGCTTCCACACGGGAAGCCTGATGGGAGAAAGCTGTGGCAGCCCCCACTCTTTTGGACCTGCTGGCTAAGGCACCCCCCCCCAGGCCTTGACCCTCCACCAGCGTGTGTTCCATGGAAGGCTCTGAGGGGTTTAGTCAGCATGGCTTAGGAAACAAGTGTCCCTTCTTCTGGAAGGAAAGTTATCATGCAAGGAGTACAGAAAACAAAGGCAATTATTCTTTCCACCCCAGATGCATGCACCACCCCAGCTAGTACCTGGGCCCATTAGCCACCAAGTGAGAGAACTCTTGTGCTCCTCTTGGCTTGTATCAACAAAAGCTATGATTCATAGGTTCCCTGTGGAAACTGAGACTCTCAAACAATCTCTTAATGGAGAGGCCCACCCCCTAGCCTCAGCCCCAAGGAGTAAACAGCTTAGACAACAGAGAAGCTCCACGCCAAGTGCCAAGGTGCCATTCCAGGCAAGGGAGCGTCTGCCACCACATTGGTTACCTGTGTGCCTCTGAAAGGACACTTGTGCGGAGAGACCATAAAACTTGGCTCTGCCTCTTGCTAGCTAGGTAATGTCAGGCTGCTTAATTTGTAATTTGGGGACTCAGTTTCCTCATCCACAAAAGGAAGACTGAATGCATTTCAGCTCCTCTCTCACTCTGCCATCCTTCAAAACCACTACAAGAAGCAAGAAGTCAGCAAGATCGAAGACTGCTTAAGAATTTCTCTGACTCTCCCGTGGTAGAGACAGGGAGATGAGGTGCAGCTAAGAGGGGGATGAGGAGTCTTGAAAACCCCTTCTCAGTTTGAGACTGAGGGAGACTGAGGTAAAGCACAGTCAACATGACTAACGGGGGTGTGTGGGGGGGTGTGGGGTGGTAGTGTGAAGAAAAACCCCTCTATTCAGTGTAAGTACTGGAGCTATTTTGAAGAAAGATTAAAGGGTCAGGACGTCTGGGCCTCAGCAGGAGGAGTGGCAGTCTGAAAGCCTTCTGAAATAAGGCAGCCTCAAACAGAGCTGGGAGATAGTGCTTTGGTGTCTACTACCTTTTCATAAATTGCCTAATGAGCTTTGGTGTTGTCTTCCCAATAGGATTGCAAGTCCATTATTAAAGAAAAAGAGCATGCATTGTGCTTCTTTCAAATTTGCCACAGATTGGACACACTGCTGGCACGTCATTCATACTCATTTAATAGTGTCAGAAGGAGAAAAGACTCAATAAACATTTACTCAGCACGTACATGGCTGAGACATCACAAAAGTCATTTTCACACATGAATACTCATCACAAACCCTACTTTACAGACACCCAAACTGAGGCTCAGAGAAGTTTCGTGACTGGCCCAAGGTCTCACAACGAGCACATGGCTGGGCTGGCATTCAAACCCAACCCTCCACTCTCACAGCGTCTCTCCATGGCAGATAGACAGCCAGGTCTTGAGAGTCGCATTGTATAGGAGTAGACAGGACATACATGTGCATGCGCACACTCGTGTTCCAGAAAATCCCGTGTGACCTGCACAAAAGAGATGGAAGCTTAAGAGTAAAATAAAGGGGCAATCAAAACTGGGTGGATTCCCGAGAACGATGAGTGCAGAGCAGAATTTTCAAGATCTGGAGGGAAAGCTTGGTGGGAGGAGGAGAACTGGGCAACCGTAGCTGAGAAAATGTCCAAGGATGGGAAGCACAGCTAAGGAACAGGAAGGAACAGGAAACAGCGAATTGCTGTCACTTGTAATGACACAAGATGTTTGGACAGGAGGGAGTCAGTCCCAGGCCCAAGGAAGTGGTTTAGAAATGAGACAGTGTTTTTTGAGTCCATTATAAGACGCATGATTAGAACATGACAGAAAGCAATTAAGGTGCTTCTCGTTTGTCTGCTGATCAAGTTACGACTGGAAAGGAGTTTCCACATGGGGGATGGGTGCCAGGGAACCAACCAGTGGCTTGTACACCATTTCCAGAGGGGAGCTGAGTGTGAGCTCAGGGTTGGCGAATGCCTAGGAGATGCCATCAGAGGCCTCTATCAGCATTGCCCCGCCCCTCCCAGGGGCCCATAAAAGCCAAGGGGCCTGGGGCTCCCCAGATGCCCTGTCTTCTCTATCCCCCTTCACACGCACCCACATCAGGAGATCTTCTCGCCCCCCTCTCTCCGCCGCCATGTCCAGGCAGTCCACCATTACTTTCCAGACTGGCAGCCGCAGGGGCTTCAGTGCTGCCTCAGCCAGCACCCCGGCCTCAGGGTGCTCCCGCTTCAGCTCTCCCTCCATTGCCCGCTCCGTAGTAGGCAGTGGAGGGCTGGGACGGGTCAGCAGTCCTGGGGTTGGCTTTGGAAGCCGCAGCCTCTATAACCTGGGGGGGACCAAGCGGGTCTCCATGGGTGGATGTGGCAGCAGCTTCCGAAGTGGCTTTGGTGGCAGGGCAAGCAGTGGGTTTGGAGTCAGCAGTGGCTTTGGCTATGGGGGTGGAGTTGGAGGGGGCTATGGGGGCCCTGGCTTCCCTGTCTGCCCCCCTGGAGGCATCCAAGGGGTCACCGTCAACCAGAGTCTCCTCACTCCTCTCAACCTGCAAATCGACCCCACCATCCAGAGGATTCGGAAGGAGGAGCGGGAACAGATCAAGACCCTCAACAACAAGTTTGCCTCNGCTCATTGAAACAGTGCTCTGCTGAGTCCTTCTTCAAAGAGACAAATTCTTTTGCAATAACAAGTCACGGGTTCTAATTTTTCATCCCTCTGTGTCTGGGTTTTTAAATGTTTACCCCTCTTAAATCAGGGCACCAAGACATACCCATCCTCTAGTGACCTTGAGTCAATCACTTCCACCTTGATGACTCTTGGTTTTCCAGCATCATTGTCACTGTCACCATCCTCATCATCAGTGTGTGCTCACTCGGTGTCTGCAGGTCTGCTTGGCATCAGGCAGTCTGAGGCAGGGACTTGTAGGCCAAGACTGGATGCCCCACGGGCCTGGCCCTCCAAAGGATGGTGGAAAACACAATCCCACATCCAGAAGCTTCTGCCTGTGGAAACATCCAGGTGAATGATGCATCACTGTGATGTCTCAGACAAAAACGCAGCTATACAGACATGGTAGGTGTGCATTCAGTAGATAAACACAATCTCATCTTAAGTATTCATGGATGGCCTCACTCTGTGATTTATCCATGAGAAATGTTAAACCAAGCCAGCTCCCCAGCCTCTCCTCCAGTGCTCAGAAGGCTAGATCCTCTTGTGTGTGCCCGAAACATGGCCTTTGGAGCCAACAGGGAGAGCAAGGCTCATCTGAAGCCCTCAACTTCCATCCTATGATCAATCATGCCGCTCACTACCAGGAAAAGCTACAGAGGCACCGCATTTCACCCCCACTTTCCTCTCCAAGAAGTGTCCCTGTATGGCAGCTCCTCAGCACCGACCAGAGAGGCTTGGTGAAATGCTCCAATCTTGGAAACAAATGAGGCCATTAAAGTGGTCAGAGGTGAATAGCCAAGACACACCCAGAATCCTCTCTTTTCTACATCCTTTCACTCTTTCTGTGGGGGTTCACTGTGAAGGCCCTTGAGATGCTGGCATTGCATCCACCCCTTCCCTCCAGGAGGGGCCCCAACTATGATTCCCAGACAATAGGGGGGGGAACTTTTCTCACTGGGCTCTATGATGTGAAGAAAGCTTGGGGTGAATGCAGGCATCAGAAGGAATTAGGAGCTCTGCCTCGGCCACCAAATGGCTATATGGGCTTCGACAGTTCTTGTCCTTGGTATCCCCATCTCTAAAGGCTCCTTCAGGCTCTAAAAGATTGACTCTGTTCCTTCGCTTCACTTCCTCTCCTAGTGTACTCAATCTGTACCACGTTTGCCTACGGATTGTTGTTTTGTGAATGTCCCTAAGATGTGCATGTCCGTGTGTCTGTGCTTTGCATGTGCACATCTGTTGGGTGTGTCTGAAAGACTTGACCATAGAGAGAAGGGACTGCTCCATCTTGCTTCATCTTGCTTCACGGAAGCACAAGTTTGAATGGAAAGAGTACCCCATTTTGCTGCTAAAACTGACTGAAAGGGACTTGAAGGTTACTTTCACACTTGCACAAGGCCCGGCACCTGCCCTTCAAAGTTGGGCCCAAGTGAAATGCCTGTTATGTCAGCAGTGAGGGGAGCAAATCAGGTGAGGTCTGGCCATGTGCAAGTAGATGTCCCAGGTCCTGCATCTTAGTGGTTTCTTGAGATCAACTGGCACACTTAGACCCTTTGGGGAGCAATTATTGCCACTGAATACAGGAGCAAAGGGAGCCATGAGGTCGAGAGTCTGACCCCCTTACAGGCAGGCTGGGTGGCTCTTTAGAGATACCAAATATTGAGGAATTCTGCTGCCCTGGCATGAACAGTCCAAGTTGAAAAGTGTTTCTGGTTGGGAGTCTCAGGTATCACCACCACAGAAACATCTTCTCTACACTCAGCCCCTAGAAGCTGTAGACTGGGGGACCCAGGTTGTGACT